AATGGTCTGGTTCACTATTTTAGGTATGAAAACCAAAAATGCAAGAAAATTTATGAAAAGTCAAACTATTGTTAAACAATCCTGTCTGTGAATTTTACACTTTAAAATAATTTATCTTTATTATAAAATGAAATAAAACTTAGTATGTAAAATTTTAGCTTTAATAGCTGACAAAAAGGATTTATCTTGTATTTGAAATTATATAAATTTTAATAAATTTGTACAGAAATAAAACAATATTTTAATTTTAAATACTAAATCCTAAAATTAAATTTATTACACATATTTCGAATAATTAAATTAAATTGGATCACATATCAATTTGAAAGAAGTACTCACATGAGGACAAAACTTTCTAAACCCAAATGTATAATTTGGAATAAATCACATTTACATAACTTAAACTAGTGAAAATATTATTCAAAACAAAATTTAACTAAAATGAAAATTTCTTCTAGTTTATGTGAGTTCACATATATGTGGAAAATGCCATACCGTGCACATCTAAGCAAATTTATATGCGGCATTCTCGTTTTAATTGCTTTCTCAAGCGAAACTGCAAAGAAAACTTTTCCAACCTCAGATATGCGTTTCAGTTAAGTTTCCATCAACATTAGAAAGTTTTCGCTTTCAAATGTAATTCAAAATATTTTCTCAACGAACATTTTACTCTTATTTGGTTGATGTTGCCATTTCAATTTGTTCGCATTAAATGGTTAACAAGGAAAACTCTAGAAGCGGAAAACTACGAACCGGAAGTCCATTGCTGCCACGATGCACACAGTCACATTTTATTTAATCAATACAAAATACAAGAAAATATTAAAGCATCATAGCACTTCGACTAAAAACTTTTCCATATAAACTAATGAAATTATTTGACTACTTTAAAAATATCTTAAATGTAATCAAGAAAAACAATACAAGTAGAATTTCTTGAAAGAAAACAGAAGTGTCGTTTTCACAAGCAAAATAAAATTATATTTACTTTTAATGTGCTATTGCAATATTTGTTAAAATAAGTACATACTTTTAATAATGGAAGCGATTTGATGTTAGGTTAGGTTAGGTTGAGGTGACAGCCTTGTATCCAAGGCCCACTTGAGCTTGTATCCAAGGCCCACTTGAGCTCCAATAATGGTCCAATGCAGTATCATAAGATTAGAGCTTGTTCATACAGAGATCATAGCTCAGCGTACGTGCAACACTGAAAGGCACGACTCTCCCATTAAGTAAGGATGAACCAACCTGACAATTTTATAAATTTGACTTAATCTCTAATCCCTAATACCAGAATGATAGTTCAGTCAGGTCGGTAAGAAAATGGGCGCCAAAAATGTTCGACATTCCTCTAGTTAAAGATAGACTCTGACATATGAGGTGGCGCACAGTTTCGTCGTCATCTACCGAGTCACAATCATGACAAAACACATTATAGGGTAGACCCAATATTATAGCATGACTGCATATTATGTAGTGACCCGTCAGCACCGATAATTTAGGGCTGAGCAGGTTACGCCTAAGTTGAAGTAGATGACTGATAGGCTTTTGTATATATTCTATAAACTAATAATTCCATAAATAATATCAATTGCGTTAGTAAGCTTACGTAAGGTGTGTTGTCTGCTTATTCCATATAGGTGAATAAAGAAATAATATGTCAGAAGATATGTATTTGATATTTAGATCATTTCGCAATTATATCATTAATAGCATTGGAACAAACCGGTGAAAAATCGGTAAACCAATAAATTCAAAGAAAAATCGCATTCAAGTTGAATCGCATATTAAAAATACTTTCAGATATCGTCGATAGAATCACATTAAAATCGATTCGACTTTAAATCCATCGGATCTGCACGCTTTAAAATAAATTACGTGATTTGATATAAATCGAAACGAAGCTGTTTAAAATCAAGGCTATGTGGAGTATTATATTGAAACCCTACACAAGATCATTCAATAAATCATATTTTAAGAATTTTTGCAGTTACAGTGCATCTTAACCATATAAACGTTAAGGTCATTCATGGTCGATGCTTACTTAAAATCAAGGTAGACTGGTCATTCCGAACAGACACTTGTAAAAGTATTTACAATTACTTTTCATATCTTATAGGGCAGTTTGGGAATTAGTATATAGAATCCATTGAATTTAATTTGCTTTTAATACAATTTTAAATTTAAAACTTATGTATTCTTGGTGCTTATAAAAAAAATTAAACTGAATTATTAACAAATACTTAAATATCTTAATTTACAGTTTATAAATGTATTGAAGTTAAAGAAAACATCCAGAAAACCAACATGTTGAAATTGCTGAAGATTAGCTGTATCTGGATTTGCCTTATCTCCAGTCTTTTTGGACAATTTCATTTCTCTACAGCAGGAACTGGTAAGATTAATTAATTTACTTACTTAAATCTGTGATATATTAAGTTTTTGAATCATTCTGATAATTTTTCTTATTACTTTAAATAATCTACTAAAATTTTAAGGACATATGTCTATCGATAATTTTTAAAATAAAGCTATTATTAAATCATCTCCAAAGTCGAAGACAAGCCTTTCTGATTTATTTTAGTATTTTCTTATGTATAGCATAACACTTCTATTAGAATTTGTAAATTTTATCTATAATTGTTTCTTTTTTTATGAAACTACAATATTATTAGCATATACCGCAGGCATAGAATTGTGATGAGCAATCACCATATTCTGTCAATTCGGATCCTATTTGATGGCATTGGAGTTGACTAGAAAGATCGGACACATGACAGAACTTTTGTGAAAGAAAAAATACTCCTCATTATATGGTATATCACTTTGTTGATTTAGATTTAATTAATTATATATGTTTTCAAAAAATTTTGATGGATACAGGCAAAGACCAGTTTTAATGATATATTAATTAAATCATCACACTCATAACTTTTATGCATCAAACGTGACTGAAGAAGTATAGTCATTATATATGTTTGACAACGCATCAAGTATTACTGAAGCACTATAGTCTATATATATACCTGACAACCCTTGAGTGACAGGCTTTTACCGCATAATAGCTTTGATAATCTTTTAAAGTGATTACCGAAGACCGTTAAGCAAAATTTGATTTTATTTAGTAATTCAGTTTCTGTCAAGAGGTGGTTTTCAGGTGCTTTATTAACATTCCGATGCCTTTTTTGTGCTATGAAACATATTCGGCAATGATTTCTTTCATCCTTTATTTTGTAGTTATTTTCTACGACCTGTGAACCAGACTCTGAGAATATGGGGAGCAATGGAAACACCGAATAAATATATTATTTGACGAAAGTTGAGTTTGTAATTAATTCGAAAACGGCTGAATAAATATTGATCTTCAACCAACAAAATGCTTTCCGTACACTTTCGAATATTCGGAACTATGTATTAGGTTTATATAAGCTAAATATTGTCGAAAATTGTGATATGATATATCGTTTTCTGATTTATCGATTTATGGCAATTCACAACACTCCTTGAATTCGAGGCCATAGAGTTTGAATAGTTTAAAGTTTTAGGAGAAAAATACATTTGTAGTTGTCACTTTATTATTATACAGTGGTTGAATAAGTCCGAGATGTGCAAGGAAAAACAGTACAGAAGTCAGAAAGTTATTGAGGTTATTCCTAATTTTTTGAATTAGTTCCACAATTATCTTAATTTTTAAATTTCAACCGTGTTTTATGCAACTTAATTATATGATTTAATAAAATATTTAAGTATTTTTTTATCTAGGTTTATACAAATGGAATAATTTTTTGGAATAAGTGCGATGTTCGTATTCTTAGAACACAATAGTCAGTTACTTAAGGAATAGGTTTCTTCCGTTTGTATTCTTGGAATACAGTAGTCAGTTATTAAAGGAATAAGTCGCTTCTCAGTAAATATTGTAGAGTACTGTTCTGTGGAATTAAAGGATTTAATATATATTTGAGTATTGCAGAGTGTCCTTTTAATCGACAGTTCCATAGCTGAACTGCTTTAGCCTAACTGTTGATAAGAAGGTGTGTCGTGTCTAAGTTGGATCAATTAGCATGATGTGCAGAATGATCCGTTATCATCTGTTGATTAATAATTAATTAGAATTCAGTGCTTCACTAATACGAGTATGTATATAATTCCGCTGATCTTTATAATTTTGTAAAATGTCTTTGATTGTTAATATGTTCAGAGATTGGCGTCATACCAGTAGTTCATATAAAGCGCGATAGGTCTAATTAAGGCAGCATATATCAAGTATATAACTTTTGATGACTTCATTTAACAGTTATAATTTAATTGAAAGTCAAATGTTTCCTGATTTATTTTCCTTGTTTGACTTCCAGTTAAGTTTACTCCACAGAATTAGATCAAAGTATTTTACAGTACTACTTGGGCTACTTAATAATATACGTATTTTATATATGTTAACATATAACATATGCACTACAAGTTATAGTAGTGCAAATACAGATTATTCTTTGCTAAAACGTAGCTTTAATTACAATATGTTTTCCATTTTACAATATGGTGCCCATATAATTGAAGCATTAGGTTTCTAAGTGAGTAAGAGTAAAAGAGCTACTCCCACTTATTTCCATTTATTAATATTTAAAAATTGATTTTTTTCGAATAATACACTAAGAACATTAAAAGATTAATTTTTTATTCAAGTAAATTTTTAAAAGATGGAAAACTCTTAACTTAATTAATGTAATTAATTTGTTTGAAAAAATAAGCAAATAATTTTCCATGTTCTGTGTTAAACACCTTGAGTTTGATGCTTTATATAAAAATTATGTGTTTTCACAACTTTGTTATTAATTTTAAGAAGATAATGAAAACTCTGCATGCGTTCAGTTTCTTAAGCATTTGTACAAACTTTACCTTTTTTAATTAGTAAAGTGCAGTTAATAACTGAGAATGGCTTAAACTGCAAAGGATATCATTACTAAAACTTAACAAAACAAAAAAGGGAAACTCCTGCCTAGCAAAACAGTAGATTTTCATGCTTCATTGAGTGCAAGTAATAAATCCTTGAAACATTTTCTATCTGAAGAAAAATAATTATCAAAAGAAATAAGTCTGCAGAGCAAAAGACTCAAAGCCGAAGGCGTAGCAAGATTTTAAAGGCAAAGGAAAATATTTACTTCTTCTTATTGCCTGCAGCTATAAACAATTTTCATAACAAGATAATCTGGCTTAATTTATTTTACGGTAAAATTAAATACAAAAATAATTATGAGAAGAAAGGAATCATTTATGGGCACTTATTAGAGTACTAAAAATATACAAAAGTACATCTATATGGGTCGTATATAAAATTGTAATTATATATGCATTTAATGACAATATAAAAAATATATTTTAAGTACTTGACGTATACTTTGTGCTGATTATAACCGGAATTATACGAAGTAACAGAGACACTAAAATATTTTAGCAATTATTTTATGATTTTCTCCTAAAAATGACTTACGACTTGTCCTGGTACCTGCAAATTGCTCCCTAACTGCTCCCTAACTGCTCCCGAACTGATTTCACGTCAATTTTATTTTATGAAATATTTGATTTTATCAGCATTTAGCAATCACTGCACATAAAATATTAAATTGCTCGACAAAATTTATGCAGAGTAAAATATTAAAAAATTTTACGATACTGTAAATTTTTTATATTTTTATTTTATTTTCTTTTCTTTTATTTAAGAATTAATTTTTTTTTCTTACTTAAGCACTTTCTTATTAAAAAATCTAACGCTGCTTACAAATCTGTGCTGCTTGTAGAGATACAAAAGATTTTTTTATTAAAAATAAGAAAACTTAAAAGGATGTACAATGGTGTTAAAAAAGGATTGCAGAAAACGGACATCCTTTTAAAGTACACATTCTCTTTTTTCTTAATCTTTTCTTTTTGCTTCTACAAAAACAATTTAAAATTCTGTAATATATAATTCATCTGAGCAGAAACTGACCTTTATTCGGAAAAGCAATACGGTTTAAGTTTATGGATTCATTCTTAAAACCTTTTTAATAAATCCTGTTATAAGGATATATAGAGAATGAAGATTGACATACATTGATTTATGCGTATTTTAGGCTAAGTATTCACTTAAATAAATCATCTTTTTTATATCGTTATATATCATAACGAATGTGGATATGAACATGTGAAATAAGTAATGTGATTTGTCAGAAATAAATTATATTTTTTAACTATTGTGAAAATTTTTAAAGATTTTTAGATTAAAATGAATGCATAATCAGAAAGCAGAAGAAATCAATAATATATAGTATATATTTATATTCATAAATGTGTATGACGATGTACTCAATTGTTCTCAAATTATGTACTTTTGAGTGCTTTCTCCAATATGATAATATTGTAAAAAATCAAAACAGAAAATTAGTATAATTTGTCATAAGCCTTAGAAATAACAATAGTCTGCATAGGATTATGCTTGGTTATGGTAGCGGCTAATACTTGATACTTTCTGCAGTAACAGCAAATGCAATGGAAGAAAATAATTCGAGAAGCGAGTTACCTAATATACCTATTAGTATATTGTAAATTCATAATTTATTTTAAGCGACGAGAAATTCTAAAATATCAAAGAACGAGAGTTAGAACGAGAGATATCAAAGTGAGAGTGTCACAGATTGTAATAATTTGCTACTAAAACACACAAATGTTGACATTTCTTACTGAACAATATTGCTTTGTCTAAGTGACTAGGCACATATAGCCTTGGCTCTCATGACCAAATTTGAACCGACATAATGTTATGACGAGCACTTGACACTCAACACAACATGACCCTTAGTTTATACATGGATATCTAAAACTGATAATTTAAATAACGGATATTACTTTGTTATCGAAAATTAGAAAATATTCAGATATAGTAAAAAATACACAATTCGTTTTTTAAAGTAATTATGGAAAAAAAGTAGAAAAAAGTAGTTTAAGTTAAGTTATACCGGCGATCCACAGGGGATCCACTTAGGCCTATTGCTCCATTGTGTTACCATATATATTGGAAAACTCTGGGTTTAAAACCAGCTAGCATCTTTAGCGAAGCTCTAAATGTAGATTAGTGTCAGGTTTTGTAATTGATCAAGACCCTTAATCATGAGGGCTCCTAAAGTATTAAGTCGCCGCCGTGCATAAGCTAGGCAAAGACAGAATAGATGAAAGGCACTCTCATCGTCTTCCCCACAGTTGCGACAAGTAGGATTGAAAGGGATATTCAATCTTTAAGCATGGTTCCTAGTTTGCAGTGACCTGTAAGTAAACCTACCATAAGACTGATATCTGCATCAATGAGAATATTGAATTTCCAGAAGTTTGATAGTCCCTTTATTTCTATACTATCAATATTTAATTAAAAAAGAACAAACAATTTATAAGTAACAATATAGAACAATCTAATACAGATATTCCTTTTTCTATTGCTAATTCTGTATATATTTCTTATATAAATCTTTAATATATTTCATAATTATTTTTCATATTAATAAATAAATTTTTTTTATATTATTGTGTTTTCAGTGTCACTAGATTATGTGGATGATCATGATCAATTGTCATATGATTTGGATACACAGCAATCCAAGGCAAAATATGATACGCGATTGTTATCAGAACAAATGCGTAAAGATCAAAAAGTGGTCAAAAGTTCTGAAGAGGATATGGATAAGCATATAGGAAGTAATGAAGAACTTAATCAAAGTGATGATATGGAACCGCATGAGAGAGCGGCATCATGTCATTCTGGTGGTCGAAAATATACACATGGACAAAAGGTATTTTTAATTAGTAATTAGTTTTAGAACTAGTCTCACTATATAAATATAAGCAATATAATAAAAAATAAGAAAATTTAATTTGAAAAGCATGGAAAAATATGAAAATATTGTAATTAATTTAGTTTATCAGAGAAAATGAAGCAACTAACATTGTTGTATTTCTACTGGGAATTTTTAATGGAAACACTTAATATAATCCCACAGTAATATATATATAATTGCTTGTTAAGCTTAGTAGAGTGATGGTACCTTTATGGAATATTTTTGACCGAAGGTTTTTAGGTGTGTGTAATAGATTTTTGCAATTCGTTACTTATTTTCTGCTTTGGTAGTTGTTTATTATTTAATAAGTTTTCCAAAGGATGGAACTGGAGTATCTATTTTAGATTTTATTGCGTTATCGGAGTAGTGGCTGTGGAGTAGAGGTGAATATAAATAAATTGGCAGATAGATCATATTATAACTAATTTAATGAAATATCGGAAAACGTGTTTAGAAATATTTTTTGCTATATAACACTTTTAGCTGGACATAATCCAGACTATGTCATTGAATTGTTCCATATCCAGCCAGCTGATTAATTCCAAATTTCTCGTAATATCTTATTACTTATTTTATCACTGTTTTTAAATATGAATGGCACAATGTCAGTGGTCTTTACCTCGGCTCTATATTTGATTTTAAGACAGCTTAGCTATTCGTAAAAATATTTATATCGCTCTACTCGCAAAATGACTTATGCCATTATACTATTTCAGCTGTCTCATAGTTGCCTTTTATGTTAACTTGGAAGAGATTACAATATTCCGGTAATTTGAAGTTAAAAGACCTACTAAAAGTATCTAAGCATAGAAACTCTTTTCATTTATTTTAGAACTTTGAACGGTGAGTGTAAATATGAATTGAATTATCATTATTTGACAGTACTGAGTTCAATCTTGTCTAGCAGAGATTAGAGTTCTGTATTGCCATAGGAAATATTACGGTTGGTATAATTTTTTATTATTAGCTTTCATTCAAATAAGACAATTTTTAAATGTGGTTGTTAAAAAAGTATTGTAAATCATTAAATGTTGCTATGTAAGATATGCATATCTTACCTATAGATGAGGCTCTATGCTCCTATAGGAGATAAAGGGACAAACAATATGAAAGATATACAGACTAAAGTTGATAAATACTTTTTTTGTTGTACTGGAAATCTATTTTGTGATTTTTACTGAGTGCCAAAATGCAATATACTTTATTCAAATAAAATTTCAATAAATTTGTTTATGATAAGAATAATATTAATTTACAATTGTCAATTTAAAAAGCATTATGCTTCTTCCTTAAAATGTTTGTCAAGTGCTTTATGAGGAAATGAAGAAATATTGCTATGACTTAGCAAACAATAGTAATAAATAATTTTAAATAATTTTTTTAAACTCGTTATGACATATTTTATAAGTGTGATGTATAACTGTGAGTAATACTATCCACAACTTTTTCAATTTTTAGCACAAAACAATATTAAAGAATAAATGCGTTTACACAAGTTTTAAAGTCTGAAATCAATCTTTTCTCTTCATGTATTTTTCCATTCAAGCACTTAGACGACTTCAAGAAGTGCAATCCGTGGAAGCGTTAAAAAGTTTCAGAATGAAATATGACACTGAAGCAAGAAGTCAACGACAACATTTATTTTACTGATGCGTCCACTTTACTAAAATAGGAAGACGAGTGATAAAGCACGTCACAGTTAATATCCATCGAATATATGTAGTTGAATACTTTTCGCCGAAGAAAAATGTACGAATGTTTGAAGTGAAAACAATGTCAATATCCTCATAAAAAAATAAATGTATTTTAAGCTCAGTGTGACCGAAGTAAATAATACAATTTTTATTTTTGGTAATAAGATTTCCCTGGGATTTTCTCTAAAACTCATTCGCATTTCTTAACTTAACATTTTTATCTTTCACATATTTGAATTACACCTTTAGGTACTGTAATCATTTTTATACGTACCTATATGTGCAGAAATGTTATAGTACTTTTTTTCATTTAAAGTATTATTGTGATATATATCACAATGTATCATGAAACAAGATTATTCAATTTTTAGATAACAGAAATGCTATTCCAATCCTTTCAAAAATTACTTTTTCACTTTCTAGTATTACATTTTAGTTCAAACCCTGTTGAGAAGAACCTCAATTCTGGGGATTAAATAAATTACGTTTCCTTCAGTTCATTTGTGTTTTATTAGTAGCTGTCTTACATTTGCCCAGTACTTGCGTATACTGCATTTGTATATAATAAAAAGTAGTATACGTATAAATGTAGTATAAAAACTAGTATACAAAAATCTTACATCTTAAAATGCTTTATCTTTCGTGTTAATTCTAATAATACTTATATAAATAGGGATCTTACTATACCTACTACAGAATTATTCTATGTTAATTATTTCTATCCAAGCAAAAGCATTTTTTAGCAAAAAACTTTTTCCACCTTCTACGAGTATTATCACAGTTACCTTTCATCTCATAAAAGGAACTTCATTTTCTTGACAAGTCTTGCAAATATTGCAGTAAATTTTCAAGTTAAGATTAAATTTCTTAAAAAGAAGAACACTCCAGCTTCAATTAATCCCCTCTGTTAAACAAACCGACATCTGTCTTTTCGTTTCAATATAAAATTTGCTTCAATCACATATACAAATGGGAATTTATAAAAAATTATTCTGAAACCATATAATGAGGCGTCATTGTTATGAACTGATAATTGATATAATTATAAATGAAACTAATTGTCATGTTTTATTTTAATAAACCTTATGATCAGCAATACTTATTAACAAGTTATACCACAGAAATATACTTTCAAAGAAACTTCTGGCGATTGCAGCGATTTTGTTAGAAATGTCTTATCAGGAACAGACCAAATGATATTTGTTGTCCTAGCAAAAACTTTGGAATGAAAAACTTCGAAGATGTGTCGTAATTTTCGATTTCATGGCTAGGGCCTTATAAGTTTATAAGTTTAAAGTGTATTTAACAAAGCAGAAGAGTAGCGAGAAGTTGGAATATGTGTCTATTAACCAAATCATTTCCTCAAGTTGGAGGCCAAGTTGTTTTCTTTTGATAAAGCTATATTTCTTCTGTTAGTTAGCTATATAATTGTAATATAGCGCTGCCATTCAGTAGTAATTTTTGATTAGTAGGAATAAAGAACTTTGGGTTTTGTTTATAGTAAAATTAAATGTAATGATTCTGTTCTTATACATGAATTATTCAAGTTTTTACTCAATTTGGAAACGTGTAAAAGTCATTTTGGAAGTAAAGTGTTATAAGATTTATGGAGGAATAAGTGTAGAGGATTTGTTTTCAATAAATGTTGTAATTAATGCATGGTTTTGTTTGGAAAGGAAAAAAAAAAGATAAAAACTGCTTATCTGGAACACAATAACCTAATACTTCTTAGTAATTAGAATAATTCTTGGTAATTTTTCCTTTTCAAACTTTTGTTTGACTGACCACGTCACTTTTTGTCTTTGATGTCGAATATTTTTGAGTTAATAGACACAAGGTATTAAATTTTATCTATTGCATCGTCAACAAAAATTTCAAGCAGGAAACTGTAACTACTGGTAATAGTTTACTTCATAAAATACTTGGATGAAAGAATTTTTAAAAATGTTGGTTATTCACCAACTTTTAAAGTTGTTCACCACTGACAAAAATTTGTCGAATCAAATAATTAAATGAAATATATGTCATATGTGGGATATATAGAGATCTACCTCAAAAAACACATTTATGCATCTATATATACTACAATAACTTGACCCACAATATCGGAAACATCTGTCGTTTGAAGTTATTGAATTCAACTAAAAATATGTCAAAGTTACAGTATTCAAGCTTAAACAATTGATTTCTGGGTTCTACAGAAAGTGTCCCTACCACTTCAGCAGAAGCTTTTGATGCTGCACCTAATTTTCACCCTTTACGCCTGTTTATGCTAGGCGAAGCTATTAGGACTCAGCAAACTTAAATTGGTAACATTTTTTTCAGAAATCTAGATATATTGAAAGTGACAGTTTGATTGTAAGTTCTAAATTTTAATTTAAGATTGAGATTACCACTAAGTAACGTTCAATTCAATTTCAGGCATTTTTATTCATGGCTCTAAAACTGAAAAGGGTTCAGGTAGTGCTTTCTTTTTCGATGATTTAAGCAGCAAATATTCATTTGTCGTGAGCTTGTGAGCATTTCTTTTCTAAGTGCTTGCAATTTTGATATCAATGAAATTAACATGCGGACTTAGACAGTAATAAGAAAGCTACACTGTAGGCCCTGATTAACTCGATTACGTTATTTAGATTACTCCGCGAATGTAATGTAGGCCAAACTATATCAGCAACCAAAACGATTTAACCCTTCAGAAGCTTCTTGTTTGGAGGTTGGCGACATCATTCAACATTTTTTTTTGGTTTTTCCTCAGAATCAGATTTTAAGTTCTGGAATTTAATGTTGTAAATAACTCGTATATGAGCTCCTTATTTCATCTAAATATTCCTTGAAAGAAGCTAATTAGAAGTTTATATAGAAATTTGTTTTTCAATTAAATGGATCTATACAATCTGAGTGCTGCATTTATTTTTACAAATCATTCATAAAAGGAAGTTTTCAAGGCTTAAGGCTATTGGTTTTTATGCTATCCACCTATTATTAAATTACTTTATATACATTTTATAACTTTTAAATGGTTTTTAATTTCAAATTTTGCTATTTGAATCTTTAACGAATGATTCACATCTTATGTAAATGACATTTTGTAGCATTTATATAAAAATTCTACAAAATAGCCTCCTCTGCGATACCATAGAGAAAGTAAATATTACTCATTCTTCGGAACTTGCAAGTTGATACAATCGACAATAGAATATTTCTCTGCTGAATCGTGGGGAAGCTATGAAAGTACTTAAATTATGTAAAGGTAGCAAATCTCCAATTTTGCTAACTGCAATATGTGAATCTATAAAATGTTTGATAGTTTTTAAGTCAAAACTACTTGTAGAAAAAAAAAATTTCTATATCAGATTAAGAAATAAAACTTGCTTAAATAAAAATAAATAAAAAACGAATAAGAGCAAGTAAATACATTGTAATAATATATTTTCTGTTTACTGAAAATAAATGCAACTATCCTTATAGCATCTGTTATTGACGGTACTACAATAATATCTTATCCTGAAGTCATAATAAATCATTTAATGTTCTTGCCGAGTTTTCAGGCACGTTCTCTAAGTTTTTGCTTATATTTTCTGAGGAGCAGGTGATTAAATGGAACTTTCATTTACCAAGCTTAAGGATAATTGCACACATATGCATAATTCCGCCATTTATAATTTGTTTTCTTCTTTGTTTGTTTCAGTGTATTTATCCTTCAGGAATTACTTTTGTTCGAGTATTTCACCATTTTATTTGTTTTATTCCCAGGTGCCACGATTGGACCCTTGCGAAGTGTGTCTGTGCATGGATGGTGAAATTTTTTGCTGGTGGGAAATTTGCGGTAAGTGTTGAAAGGTTCACACAGCACAACTACCAAATACGATATGTGTAAACTATAAATATGTTTTTTAAGAGTGCAATATAAATGAAATACAAAATGAATTTAATGCCAAAGGACGAAAACAATGGAAATCTACAAAACGTGCTTTTGACGAGCAGAAGAAAAATTATTTAAACGTGGACAGCACACATAATATGTTGGCAACTATTAAAGAAAAGCCAGCAGCTGTTGCTGCATGAAACGTTTCCTTTTTTTTCGATTGTACGAGTACTTATAGTAGCAATGAAAGATATTTTATATCACTTTTTTTTTTGTTCATATTTTTTTAAGTGTACTACAAAAACAACATAAATAAAATTACTTATTTTGTTTGCAGAGGAAATAAATTTATTCTTCCGCATGATTGCTTTTTGCTCAATTCTGTTTAACAGCGCCGAGTGAATTTAATTGAATGATTTCGAATTTTCCCCCCTTTTAAGCAATTTATGTATGTATTTCGTTCCAAATACAAAAATACAAAATTTTTACTTTGGCTGATTAAAACATTTTTACCAGATACAAAAAAAAATTGTAAAATTTAAAGGATTTTAATATTCAATTGCACTTTCATCGTCGATATTACGAGAGTACAGTGAATGGAAGTTCGAGAAGTGCAAGAAATGAGCAAGTGAAGTATTCAATAAAATCAGAAAAGTTATTTATTAAGTGTTTACGAAAAAATGAAAAAATTAGATTTTAAAAATTAAAAGCATATAACTTCATTTACAACAGAAATCTTTTAGCAAATGCAGTACGGACCCTTTTAGAAGAAATGCTTATTTATACTGCTTAAAGAGTCTTTTTCAATTGCTGATTTGGAGATGTTCTGTCTATTGAATTATTCACTCCTTTCAATAGCGTATAAACACAGATATTTATACGCTTTTCTCAAAGTTGAACTTTAATTTTGATAATTAAATTCTGCTGCTTCAAATATTTCTCGAACTGATTCGCTAAACTGACTAAAAATGAATATTTTTATAGTGACTTATAACATTGTTTTATTCCTTTGCATAGCTGAAATTTATTTATTATAAAATAGTTTTTAAATAATAATTAGGAAATGGAATTACTTTACCACACCAAATTTTATTCAGATTTAAGCCATTCTGTTTATACTTTTTGTATGAATCTTTTTGTATGAATTTGTGGGACGGTTTGAAAGGAGATGTCAGTCAACTTTACGACAATATGAAGCAGTGTTACTCATAAATGAGTCATAAAATTAGTTATGAACAAATGAAACAAAATAAAGTCATTAAATTTAATGTGATTTTTCGATAAATTCACAAATATGGCAATATTTATCCGTGAATCGTTATTTATTATTGATTAGCTAGACAGCAAAAGGTGATGTATGTCTGTCTGTCTGTTTGCATATTAACAATCAATTTTTTAATTTGCAAAAATAATTCAATGAAATTTGGTACATGGTATTTTTTAAAAATGAGTATGTTATTAACTAAATATATTGTGCGGTAAAAGTATTCAGAATATAAAACTGAAATATAATATCTATTAGTATCCGTTAATTCGAATATTAAATAACTTTGGTTTTTGAATTATCATATTAATATAAACAGCACTACTCTGTACCATTAAAGTGAAATAATCAAGAAATGGATTAATGATTCTTATTTTAATCATATGAGAATCAAAAAAGTTTAGCAGTCAGAAAGCTAGATTGAGATAACAACTTTGGATATATTGAATAAAGTCTAAAATCTAGAAACTCTCTCATTAAATAAAAGTACGGAATCTTGGTTATGTAGTAAATAGTATTTGCATATGAAATAGTTGCTTGCAAACATTGGGTCATATTTGTAAATCTTCAAGTGTGATTCACTGAAATATATGCGTAAGTCTATGACAATAGATGAGACATGTATTTATCACTATACTGAGAAAATCAAAACAGAGTCAAAACACTTAACTTCTCTGTGGCTACTTGAGATTTTGAAGTCCCAGATAAACTATCGTTAAAATCGTATTTAGCTTTATTTTACTATTATTTAATTCTAAATTAAAAAAAAGAAACATTCTAATAAAAGGTTTCTATAGAATTTTTTGATATAATCTTTGTATCTAATAAAGAAAAAAGAGTTAAAAAAATCTTATATTTGAGGCGTTATGCGAAATAGAAGTATCACCGCAAGCATATTAGGTCAGGCTACGTTGAAGTTGCGGCCTTGTGTTCACAGCCCCCTTAAGTTTAAATAATAATTCTGTAGTACCACAGAATTAGCATTTGTAAATGCGCAGACTAGAGGTCCTCGTACGATCAACGCAGAATGCGCAACTTCCCCTTAAGTTAAAGATGAACCACCCTGACAGTTCTACAAACTTGGTTAAATCCCTAACTTTACAAAACTTTGAAAAGGCGCTTCAAAGATTTTAGATTTTCTTCAAGCTAAAAATTGACACTAACACATGAGGTGTAGCACATGTTCCTCCTCGTCCGTGGAGCTATAACCTCGTTATAATTTTTCCTATCACACAGTGACTCGTCAGAACCGATGATGTAGTGCTGAGTATCTTAGTTGAAGCAGCTGACTGGTGCATTATTTGTCCAGTTTATACCATGTTGGTTTGTCTACTCAGCCAGTTTATTGACCTCAAATGATATTATATGGAAAAATAAATTTAAGTGTAAGCAAAAACTTGACTTCTTTCATTTATCCCAGACAAACTTCCTCGTAAATAATGTTTAAAAATATGTTTACTCTTTTTGGGTTATGAGGATGGTTTTTTGGTGTTGTTAGGAACATATAGTCTCTTGTTATTCTTGCTTAATACTTATTTCTGCTTGTGCACACGAATATATAATATGTTTATCAAACTTAGTTGAAGGATATTTTATGTTCTAGTTCAATTGGCGTAATTAAAAAATTATTATCTTTTTATTAAATTCAAATCAATCTATATGAATAAAAATCAATTTTCGTCCATGTGTTCTTTATAGATTTAAAATTTACTCAGTTCACTTGGCTTAAAATTTAACAATTCGTACATATACTTAATTAATATGGTATTTTAAGATTGATTTGCAACTCCAGACGTGGCAATAGAGTGCTCAGAAATGGTTTTATTCTTACTGAATTGAAAAAAAAGAGAAATGAATATACATAGTTCATCCAAATGTTTTTCTTTTACAATGCTGACTGCAAAAAAAATTTGAATAAATTTCTTTATTTTAGAGATAACATAGTGCATACGATAATGTAGAAATTGAATATAAAATAAAAATGAAAGTAAAAATAAAAACAAAAACTTTGACCATGATGTAGTTCGAAGATAAAAACTTCAGTTTTTAACGCTTAACCCTTCAATAACTGCAGCATCCTGTAGATTTTACTGTGAAATTCTTATACATACAGTTGGACATACATTGTTGCATTGAGCAATGTTATACGTTATTATAGATACATCAAAATGCAACTTAATTATATTGCGAGTATTTTTCGTTTTTCATTGAATGAAAATATCTGTGAGGAATGTAGTCCATTTTGTAATTAGTATAGCTTGAATGTTGGATGTAATTACTTTAGTCAATAATGTTGAGAATTTTCCTTTCCAAAATGTAATTTTGTATTCTCATTGTATATGAGATTTTATTTAATTTTATGTTACATATAATAAGAGAATATGCTTATCTACTTGAAATTACTATCATTAATAAATTTAATATAAACAGAAAACTTAATCGGGTTTCGTTATTATTGTTCGAGAAATTATATACTAATTATAATTAAAATAACTTATATATGTTTTCTGTTCTTTAAAAAATTATTTTGATTAATTTGTTTTGAGAGAACGAATATTCCAACCACTGCTAACTGAAATTAGTCTTTAATTAACTCAAAAATAATTTTGATTTACAGCCAAGCAAGCACAAAAAAGCACAACACCGTCATATGTCAGTACAGTGGAGTATACCACCTATTCGAAAAAGGAATACAAACCCACTAAATCAAATGCAAATACAACAAAAAAACAACATAAGAAATTAATTGCAAATGAAAATGATAAAATCCATCACAAAGCCAAACAGCAACATAAAAAGAGCAACAAAATGCTGCACATTGCAAAGAAACTAAAGAAAAAGTTACATCAACAGCAACAACAGCAAAAGTACAATGAACATGAATGTTTTATTGAGGAACAACAACAGAAACATCAGCAGCCACATGCGTTACAATATCAACAACATCAACAAAAGCAACAACTACAACAGCAGCAGCAACACAAACAGGAACAACATAGTCATGCGACAAGCAAAATTTTGAATTTTCCAGAAAATTTACCTTCGGTATTATATTATGATTACAAAACAGAGGAACACCAGCATCATCAACACCAGCATCACCAACAACATTTGAAACATCAACAGGAGCAACAACAAATTAGATATCAGCAAATGCACCAACAACAACAGCGACAACAACCACAACAGGAATATGAAGAACATATCAACAACTATGATGTAACTACATTATCGCCAGCATATCAGAGTACGAAAAATGACAATGCATTTGCTGAGATGGAAACTGACAGTGACATCCTACCGGAGCCTCCAACAAAGAAGCCTAAAATGACAGCAACCGCCACAACAACAACTACCAAAATGACAACTCAAACAACATCAATTAAAAGTAATTTTAATGTTTATCGTCCAAATGAAAGCATAAATCGAAATAATAATGACGATGTCGACTATCTGAAGGACGAACACAGAAGTTCTCGTAAATCTTTTTCAGAAGATGCCAACATGTCAGAGACAGTGGTGAGTCAAATAAGTAACCTTTCGTTTAAAATATACTTATAAAAATATTATTAAATATTATCAGGGATGATAAATCCAACGTATGTATGTATGAGTTTTGTTATTTTTAAACATTTTTAAATGTATTTCATTTTTTAAAGAAAAACAATAAATAATAGAAATAATGGTCCAAGACTACTAAATATGGGTGTTTGGCAATGCTCGAAACAGCTGTATGTTCAGAAAATTCAATTAATTAAAAATAATGTAAAAAAAATTTTTGTTGTTGTAGTTTACTACTTTTCGAAACCTCTCTACTAAATAAATTATGTTAAATGTTTTTAATTGGAAGTTGGAGAGAATTAAAATGAATTTCTACTTTAAATTTAAAAATTTTGGAATTTCAAGTCTATTCTAACATCAGAGTAATTTTTCAATAACCATAAAGTAGGATAAGACTTATAAAAAAGGATCCGTACCAAAGATATAAAAATACTAGATATGAATTGTGTGATGGAACAATTGTACCTATGGTAGAACTTGTGCATGACAATGAAAATTTATTTAACACTCGTTGGCATACACACGATATCTCATTACAGGTAGTAATCTATTTATTTGATAAGGTCCTCCTATATGGATCACTACATCAAATAAATCATTAATCGCATTTGTTGACGGAATAATAATCATTTGACAAATCCATAAGCTTGATCAGATACGACGTTAATTTAAGTATGCAGCAAATTAGTTCTTCTTTCAAATTTGACACAGTTCAAGTTTAATCCTTTCGAAATTAGTCCAGAAAAATAATACGTAGACAATGTAGTCATGGAAACATATAACAAGCCTACTGATAATATTATATATGATAATATCTAAAACAACTGTAAGGTCATCCAAAAATTAACTAAATCAACTTTTATAATATTTATTTAAATTTTTGAACTAATTCTCTTTTTTTTCTACTTTAATAGCAATAATCGAAAATAATTACCTTTACAGTTTATTATACACCAAATATTGAGTAGTGTTTTGTAATAGTGTTAGAAAAAATTTTTGTTTTGCCTTCGTTATGTTATAAGACAATATTTTTTTTTTAAAATAGTTTTATCTATTAACTCAGATATGATTTTTTTGATTGCTTAAAAAAATTAGCGTTTTAACTGAAATGCATTGTCACAATAAAAACTATATTACCTATTATTATTAGCTCCTTACTTCATTAGAAGTTTAAGGAGTCTACAAAAGTTTTCCACTGGTTTCGTCTCCTAGCTATTGTTCTCAACTCGTTAAACGATTTGCTCGTCTACTCATGCACTGTCCTTCTCATGATCATTGCTGGTCTGTCATTGGAGGGGGTTCCAAGAAAGTGCAGCATGCGCGATATCTTCATAAGACCTACGCTCTATTCACCTCTATTCACCGATAGAATACTCTCTAAGTAAGTAAAGCTCTCGGTGTCTGCGTGTGATGTCCATTGATTGTAAACGGAGTTGAGTTTTCGGTTTTTATACGTATTGCTTCAGTTTTACTGATGTTTATCTTCAAGCCATCCTTCGGCAATTCGTCTTGTAATTCATTAATTTTCGATTGCATTTGCTGATGTGAGTGCAAAAGCAGTACAATGTCGTATCGAACAATTCTAACACCCCATCGAGCACAACTATAAACAGTAGTGATGATAAAATGCAGAATGGTTTGACTCCAGTTACTGAAATGGTTGGTTCACTTGTTTTTCCATTATGCAGAACAGTGCAGTTCGTATCTTTATAGCTTTTCTTTATTATATTGATTATTTTTTGCGAGATACCAAGTCTCTGTAGCGCTGGCCACATCGTCTCTTTTTTGACTGAATCAAATGCCTTTTTATAATCGACAAAGACTGCATACACACACATATAACACACATGCTATTTATATTGTTATATTGTCTCATTTATTGGTTGAATAATGCGTTTAGATAGAAAACTATATAGTTCCATACAATAATCTAAATACCATATATACTTTACATGAAACATAACTACTTACAGAAACGGTTTACAATTTTCTTTCATTTCACATTTTTTATATTAAACTAAAAAAATTTAATATTGTGCATTTCATTATTATTGTATACAAATTGTACATTAAAATATTATCTCTTTATAATTTTTCCTCTTACGCAAACGAAAAAACAACAATGCACAATAAAAACATTCCCAAAATGTTTTGTTCCATAAACACAACAATACACTAAAATACACTGAAACATGTTAGAATATATTACTTTTGTTAAATGATCGCTAGTAAAATTCACTATCTTCGTGAATAGATCATTAAAAAGTTTACTACCTTTGTGAAAAAGACACTAATGTGGATATTTAATAATTTTACATGAGATGTCCGAAACAGTACACTATTTTAGTGTTTCGTACAGGTCGATTTAATTTGTAGTGTACTGCTCGCGGTTGCGTTCATCAACACAAACACTAAAAATTTCTTGTTGTGTTTTGGACATAAGCAGTACACTACGATAGTGTACTGTTTATTTTCGTTTACTGTTCAATAGAGTTTTTGTCAGAGAATGTATGAAAAATTTAATGATATTATTATTATTTCCTTTACAATTTCTCAAAATATTTAGCATCAATATATTTATATTTATATTTTTTTGTTTTTAAACAATTCATATGCAGTTTTACTAAAATATTGTAAATAATCGAAGTTTTTCCATATGATAGGACATACCTTTGAGGGATTTTTCCTTTTAAGGTTAAATTGCACGTAAAATTTTTTGTTTTCTTACAAATTCAATTAAAAATTTTTAAACAATAAAGTATGGAAGAAGCCACAAATTTCATTTGCCTAACGACTTTTGTATGAAGTTTTTTCTCTTAAGACACGAATAAGTCAAATAGTTTAAATGGTTTTGAGTTGAGTGTCAAGCAATTAAAACAAATTGCTAAACTTTTGCTGCACTTAACTTGTCTTCTTCTGCTAATGAAACCGAACTATAAAACTTCTAAGAATAATGTAACAGAATAAGAAATGTTGACCAGAGATACAATAGAAGAGATAATTAAATTGTCAACAATTGTGTGAACAAACTATAAAGATTAAAAGCTAAGATTCTGAAAAGGCAAAGGATACTTATGACATTGTTTTTTGCTTCCTTAATGCAAAAAATGTCCTCAGGCAGCCACAAATGCAAATGATGGTTAAAAAGTAAATGAGAGCTTAAATTCGTTAAGAAAGTGGAAGTAAGATAAATTGTGTAGATGTACATCCAATTGTGGAAGAAGTGTGTACATCCAAAGGCAGTATTAGCAAGGACATTGTGCAACAAATCAGACGATTTACGACACGAATAAATGAAAAAATGGTATGAGCAGGAAGATGACGTGAAATATCCTTTGTTTGTAGATAATTTTATTTGATAAGAGATAAAGCAGAAAGCCGCAATTTATGTAGGTTGTCTTATGTGCTTTGTATGAAATTATTTTTTTTCCTGTATATATGGTATGTTTGTATAGTTTTTATATGTCTGCATTAAAACTTTTATGTCTTACAATGAAGGCAAGGATATAAAATTATGTGTGAAATATAGAAGCAGCAAAATATTTTGTTAGTTTGCTGCTGTTTGTGTTAATATTTTCATTTCAAAATTAAAGAAAAAGGAATATTTGCTCGGAATAAAGCTGCTCCTTCAGGGAATATTATGTCTTGTAAATTCGCAACTTTCTTCACACTTTCTTCACAAAATGCAAATGAAAGTATATGCACTTGGGTTTCTAAGTTTTCCTTCTTTTATGTCCTTTGTTTTGTTTTACTTTAACTCATTTAATGAAAGGGTCTTCAGTTAAATCGTCTTGGGATGTTGTAAGTATGGCAAATTAACGGTTGACTTGTTTCATCACATGGGAATTAGTTGCGAGTGACTGACTGACTGTTACGATTTGGGTTATGCATTTATAAAGAAAGATGTTAAGGATGTGCTTTAGAAGAAGTTGTGAGTTCTAAGAATACATTTTTTTTCACTACTCTTAACAAGTTCACTTTCAAAAAGATTTTTAATTTTTTCATTAAACTAATTAACACGCTGGGGGTTACATTATGACAAACAGCTTAGTTAATATAAAATGTAAACCAGAGTTGTTATTAATAATTTAGACTAAATTCAAAACAATCTTGAATTGTAAAAAATAATTAACAGACAATTAAATTACGTTTTTAAATTGAAATGTGAATATCCTGCAAAGTTTTTTATAAGTATGTTATATTAAATCTGGAAGTCATTACTAAAGCAGTTACGGAACAATTTTTTTGGTTTAAAATAAGATAAGTCGCTCGTTCTGACTTAACTGCAGCTAAAGTTTTGAGGATGTGAAAAAAAAATGTGTATAAAACCTTATAGTCTTAGTAAATTGTGTTTGATTTGATTATGTATCATAATGTTAAAAAATTGGTGGTTATAGTTATGAACTCTAAACCGAATAAATCGCTAGACCACTAAGTGATATCGATCCATATCACATTTCTCTGTTGCACCTAAACTATGCGAAAAACTGCTTATAATGGAATTGCATTCAATTGGTGAACATAAAAAATTAATAGTACTTGTCAAAGGATAAAGGACTGTTTATAAAACAAAACTTGATATCACTAAAATAATTTGATAAGTTATCACATTCAATATTGAAGTAAGCATTTAACATAAAATAGAATAAGTATTTCTAGACTATCACGGACTTTCGATTAAGTGTGACACAAAGGGTTGTTTATAAAGCCCAACTGAAAATTACTAAAACGCTTTCGTTAGTTAATCACATCCAATCTTGAATTAAGATATTTCTCAGTTAAATACGAACATGCTTATTCGGACTTAAATGAAATTAATGCTGTTATACCGTAGTGAAGTATTATAAAACTTCAACTTTATCTAATTTATATATGTGATCTTTTTCAAAAACACGCAATATGGGCGTCTCCCTAAAACCTTAACAGATGATATGTTACTAATGAATGACTGATGAATC